ACCCATCTACTGTTCCGTCACGGCAGGACCCATCTGCTGTTCCCTCACGGCAGGGCCCATCTGCTGTTCCGTCACTGCAGGACCCATTTTCCGTTCCCTCAGTGCACTGCCCAATAACCCCCATAAACCCATCATCATACACACAGCAGCCGCAAGAGCAGAATCCTAGGAGGCGCTCATCCTTAGGTTGACTACTAACTGCCTCATCAGGTCTGCAACAGTGGTATCTGCAACAGCCGCCTAGCACACCCTCAGATTGAGGTTCAAGCATGTAATCATCATCAAATATGAGAGAGCAGTCTGAGTCCTCTCCCTCGGATTGACTACTAACTGGCTCGTTTCCGGAATAATTATTGCAATCCTCATCTTTCGAACTAGTATCACTCCGGAACTTAGTTTCAGATTTGCCGCTGTGGTGATCGTCTCCAGATTGAGTGCTAACAGACTCAACCCTAGATTCATTATTGCATTTCTCATCCATGGATTTGTTATCGGAATCTTCCTGGCCTTGCTTATTGAGAGACTGCTGGGATTCGAGACCGTGACCCTCCCTGGGTTCGGTGTTGGGGTCCTCCGGCTGTCTATTACTTAAGTTGAGCAGTTGTTGGTCGGGTACCCCCCGAGCGGGCCCGGCAGCACGTGGGCTCACTCGCACACGGTACCTTTCTCTGTCACTGGACCTGGTATGAAGGTCGCATTTAGTTTCCCGGAAAACTTGCTTGGACTTGCAAGCAAGTCCATGTCCAGACAAATAGGGATATCCGAATTGAGCTTTCTTAAGCTTCATCCCATGTTCCAAGGTGCCGAGATTTCCCTTTTCCACATGTTTCATAAACCCAGCTTCCCCCTCACTAGTCTTTTTTTTAGACATCATATGGACCCGGTTCTCATCGTTGATGTTTTGCCAATATAAATTTCTGGCTATATTCCTTGCGGAGGCGATAAAGCTAGTAGTGCCATGAGTACAGAGGTGAGAACTCTGAGCGAGGGAGATGGAGCGTCCAAAAGTATGAAGCATTGTTGATAGGAAGAGGAACTTGGCGGTATTTGCTGGGTTAGGGTATAGGCCAATAACGTTCAGGTACAGGAGAGGAGCGATCTATATAGTATAAGTAGGGTAAATGAAGCAGCCTGATTCTCCGGAGCGTACCGTAGCGTTTCCTGAAATAGAAGTATAACTCCTGTGCACCACGAAGATGACAGAAAATAGTCCTGGGGGAAAGGCGACTGGAAAGCACTGCTAATTAGCAGAAAGAAGGCGAAATTAACACCATTGCAGCAACATACCAGGGTCTCTGATAGGACAAGAGAGCTTCAAGGTAGAAAGAACTTAGGGACGGTAAAAAAAAAACCAAAAAAAACCAAAAAATAAACCTGTCAATGAATATTGGGGTCGAGTTTGTGAATCCCTTGTCGTTGCCCAACTTCTCGTTGAGCTCCACTCAAGGAATTGCAGGAGCAGGAGCAGAGTGAAGGAAAAGAGGAGGGGTAGTATGTCCCTTATATGCTTTTTGTGCAGACCGCACATCTTCATAAAGAACCACTGCTTAAACCCTATACCAGTAAACGAAATTCTGCGTTTAATGTATGAATATCATAATTATCATAATTATCGTACCACTCTAGTTATATCCCCTGTGTCCTAAGTATTATTCTATATACTACAACATTCTACGAGCACTCAGGGTGAGGTTTAGTAAAAATAGTTATTCTATAACTAAGCAAAAATACAGGTCTAGTAGGTAGCCTAAGTGGTAGTTATAGCTTGAACCTGCTACCGTGTACTAGTTAGAATTATTACCTAATGCTTGGCCCGGTATGATACTCTTTTTTTTTATCTCCATGCTGGAACCATATATTCAACCTCAAACAACTCTAGAACTAAGAGGCTAATCGCATTATACATACTACAGCTAGCATGTCCTCAACACCAGCTATTTAATATTGTAAGGCATGTCTCTACATCATTTACTTCCATCCCATGACCGTCAGATAGGTTTCAATCTTACAGAAACTTGGTAAGTTAGCCTATCTTGGACATCAGATTACTCCAACCAGTACTGCAATTGTAACGGGCCCTAATTCGTCTTAAATTCTGGGCTGTACCAGACCATCATAGGCGATGTCTGGAAACTGCTGGGCCGATGATACATCCTAAGTTATTTCCCATTTATTCGTAGATAGTATCATAGGTACTTCATCGGTGAAGCAATGCTAGGGGGCCACTACACTTATACTAACATCACACTGCATATCAGATTCACCAGATACTGATATAACTGCACCGCTCCTTCCTTCCAATATCTGAATTGTTTGATATTCCGAATCATTTCTATCACTTCCACCTCCCGGATTCTCTCTGTCTCAATCAAGTAGGCTATCCTGCACCAGATTTCATGCACTCAATAGCTTCAATAACCTTGCCACTTAGCCAGCTGCAGCATTTGTAATTAGGGCCCTACAGATGAACGCCGGGCCCCGGAGCTCCTTACAGATGATGGCCGGACGGTTGGACCCCGGAGGTCCCTAAAGATGATTGCCGGGCCCCGGAGGTCCCTACAGATAATAGCCAGGCCCCAGGGGGCCCTCCGACGGCTGGGAACAAGGCTAGAGATTGAATGCCCTGAATACCGGCTATCTAACAGTATAAGGTATGTCCTTATATGATATGTTTATATCTCATGGTTGCCTAATTGTTACTAGTAATCCAATGTGCTTCAAAAGAACCCACACCCTGTTCTCAATACTGACATTGGATTTCTCACCAGCCAGTGATGTAGTCCTGACGTGTATACTACAGCCGAATCTGAAACCCAGCTATCCAATGGTATCAGGTGCGTCTCTACACGATGAGTTTCTATGTCATGGTTAGCTAATAGCTTTAGGTGACTCCAGGAGCCTCGGAAGCTGGGTGGCATTTTTTATCAGTTCAGATTCGTGGCAGCTCAATATGTCTACGATTGCAGCGGGTGATGGGCCTCTGCACTGCTGCTTAGGGTAGAGGCCGAGGTCCGCGCTCGGGAGGGGGATCCAGCGTACTCTGTAAACATGAATGGCTCAGAGACCGGGTGTGATAGAAGAGGGGGTAGACCAAATATTCAGAGCTTTTCCATATCTTAGAGAACGTGCTGTCCAATAGTCCATTCGGTCCCATACCCAGGATAACGGGCTGGAGCATGGACCTCTCCTCAGTGTTTGATAAGATAAAAAAGAATCGGGAGAAATACTGAAGGGTAGCAACACTTGGGGGGTCCCAGGAGATTGACAGTTTCAGGAGATGGGAAGAGCCACCAGGTTCAAGTGAATTGGAACTCCCCGGAATTATGAACGGTTTATTAGCTTGAAGTGAGAGAGGGGGGAAGGAAATCCCTTGACATATCACCAGCTGGGAAGAAGGGAATACTGGGGGTGGCACTGATGGCGTTCAACGAAGCAGGGGTAGGGAAATCAGTGAGGCAAACCAATAATGCCTAGGAACTTCATTTCTAAGCTGGGCAACGTATCTAACAGCAAATATAACTCACGTTGTATATTTACTCCTTAGGTTAGTCATGGCACACCATCCTCCCAGCCATCCTCAAGGACCGATCCACGGTCTGGGAGGACTACGAGTCCAAGCCACCCACGAGGTGGGGGAACCCAACCTCCGGCTTTGGTAGGGCCTTAAATTTTCTGTTTACGGAAAGTCCTAGAGACAAAAGTTGGGTTCTTAGAATAATTTCTATATACTACCGTCGCTACTAATTTATACAAAGAAACAAGAAGACTCGGAAGGGAAAGGGAAAAATAATATTAATTAATAAATCATCGAATAGTGGTAACATTACCCATAGCCCCTTCTCCATTAGCATCCTTTTCAACTTCAACCGCTGTAGTCGACGAGGCTGGCGACACAGCAGCTCCATCTTTTCTTCGGTAGTGAATTACCACGTCTCCATGGGCTTTCCAGACGTAGGAGCGCATGGTCGCCAATGTCATGGCTGGGGGCACAACCTGAACTTTGAGTAAGTAGGTTGTTGCTGATATAATAAACAGCTAGATGACACAAACCTGGCCGTGACAAAGAAGCTCAAGCCAGTGCTCTGGCTTTGGGGGGCTCTCGCCCTCTTTGATCTCTGGAGCAAACGTAGTTGTTGTGAAAGGGGGCTCCAATCTTTCTGCAACATAAGCTACAATCTTTTTCGCTCTTAACATGCGGTTTGCGTTTAACCTAGAATTTTTGCCTTCGCTTTATGGGATGTTAGCACTTGAGGTGGCCGATCTGCATAGGCACCCGAGATGGGCGGTGGTGAATGTGACTAACCTTCCAGACTCGCTAGGTAGATGGGGGAGTTTGTCCTGCCATGGTATTAGAACGAAGCTTACTTTAACGGTCTCCTTTAGTGGGATACGGTTAAGAAGAATAAGGTCTCCCAGCCAGGCTGGGGCAACTTTCTCGAGCAAATCCGCATCCTCGCCAACACAGGCGACTGTGCCCCTATATAGATCCGCAACCCCTCCGAAATCAAGTCTGTCCTCTTGGATAATGATTGTAGTATTTCCGGGAGGTTTTAAAACTGGCGTTTCGAGGGGCAAGCTAGGAGCAATGCTGCTCCTAAAGGGTTCGCCCACCCTTTCCCGAACCTGGATCTCATAGGATCCCCGGATCTTCTTTAAGACGCCTAGGAGCGTGTCTTCTAAGGGATCGGGCTTATCAGATATCGCAGATTCGTCTTCAGATGGCTTTTCGTCGACCGTTGATACAGTGGGTTTGTTTGTCATGTCCGTGGAGGCAGAACGACCCAATTTCCTAGTTCCGAACGATCTCCATCTCCCAAGAAGCGATGAATCCTTCTCTTCCTTTTCTTTGTCCGCCGTGGAGGGGGCTGCGGGAGCATCGTCAACTGCTTCGCCTTGTGAGGGGCCAGATGACGTTAGTTTGTTTGGCATCGCATTATTTCCGGCTGAGAAATAGTCATTAGTCGCTGGCTTGTCAATTGATCCCCTAGTAGTGGGAGAAAGGGAAGCTCTTGGCCCATTCTCTTCTTCGCTGGTGGTGGGTAGTGGTGCCGCCTCTCCAGCGTGTGCAATATTAGCAGGTCCAAGGGCTAGTGCAGGACTTGCAAGGCCGATTGCCATACCCGGTGTTTGTGGAAATAGCGAAAACCCGTTGTACGCTTTAGGGGTGGCAGCGCCGGCCCCTCCGGGAGATTGGGTGCTGATATCCGATGAGGAGAAAGTGACTGGTGGCATTGAAATCTGTGGAGGCGCATTGGCACGTCGTGTTTGCTCACGTTTCTCTCTATCGCTGTCGAGTCTTTTCCTATAATCTTCATCACGAGCAATCTCTTCGTTAATGAGATTACTGAAAAGATAACGGAGGACCCATTTGCCAAGGTTAACTGAAAGCTGTTAGCAGCGGTGCTGTTCCAAAAATGGGGGTATATAAGCAGTCCTCACTTCTTTGATCATCCCTGAACTCCACTGCGTCTTCGATGTCGGCCTCATCGGCATACATCTCAGCATCAAAACAGTAGTTTTCTTCCAAGACACAGGCGAGCCGACCCGTTCGAGTATCTATTTGACACCAGTTCGCCACACTTTCAACAGTGTTTACTTCGGCCGCAACAACCTCGAGGTGTCTTTTGCCAAAGGATTTGACCGGCATGCATTTCAGTATGTCCCACATCATAACCTCGCCCGCTGTGTCTAAGGTTAAGACCCTCCTTCTATCATTTAATAAAAAGTGCTTTATTAGACCGTGCTGTCCTTCAATGGTTTCGTCTGGAAGATCGTTTACGGGAACCAGGATACCGGGATCGGCGTCGAGAATGGTTTCTGATATTGAAGCTTGTCGGGCATTAGGTATTGAATACACAGTGACAGCATCAGGGTCCCTAACATTGGAGGGGAACGCGGACGTTGTTGACAGCCTCAGCAGGGCATTTACGGGGATGGTTGCCTGCTTTGGTCCAGCGGCTGTTGGTGAGCTTGGAACACCTGGTGGTGGGGGTGAATTTATGATCCTTGGCCTAGCGCTGGCTGATGAAGTCAGCCTGGGGCGTCTTGGATCCGGGCCGATATCTGCGTTGGTATCCACGTCTAGCCAGCGATTTATACTAGAACTTTGGGTTGCAGTCCAGAGGTAGCCACCACAAGCAACCACCTTATTTACACCTTCTTGGTCCTGACAAACTGCCACACATATACCCTCCTCTATCTCATCCACATTTCGGACATCAGTCTTGGCTACCAATCCTGAGCGATCGCTAGAGTGAAAGATATCCAGGTTGGGATGGGACGAATAGAGTGACCAAACACTATCGTTATGCATACTTAGGGTATGGATACACCTTCCGGCAGTTAAGCTCCACATCTTGATTGTGGTGTCGGAGGAGGCAGTCAATATAATGTTGCCCTGCTGGCTGACAAGAATTGATCGCACGTTGTCGGTGTGCCCAACAAACTTTGTGACCCTTTGACCCGATCGTGGATCCCAAACACGAACCACGCTCTCGGGACCGCCGCTGGCTATGATACCTCCTCCAATTCCCAGCGAATATATGGAGCCCTTAGGGTTAGTGCCCCTATCACCCACATCGATCTGTAGTTTCTCACCACCCCCGTTGAGATCCCAAACCATGATTTTTCGGTCTAGCCCCCCGCTAGCAACCCAATCCGAATGCTCATTGGGTGTCGCAAGACATTTGACATAGTCGCTATGGACGCCTATTGTCTCCGGTGGTAATTGGTCGGTTGCATGAGGCCGCCAGAGCTTTACTGTCAGGTCTGACGAAGCAGATACAAGTGCAGTGTTAGATTGACAGAGCGCAAGGTCGTTAACCCAGTGGGTATGGGCTTGGGCCTGTGCACAAAAGGTGGAGGGCCGAGGAGTGGGGCGAGGGATCGTCACTGAGTTTGCTGCGCCATCTGTGAGATCGACGCCGATTTTCCAAGAGCAGATGGCGCCATCACGACCGGCTGAATAACTTCGTTCCAACCAAATTACGTCAGCTAAAAATGCCCTCGGAGGCTGGCAGGTACTCTCGAGTTTGACTAAGAGAGATAAACCTACAGAATTCCCTGTTTATCGACAGCGAGACTATTGACGCCTAAGCGATGCCCACCAGGAGAGTTGGCTAGTGGTAGTACTGCAACTTTGATCAGTCGCTTCGCCACGAGAATGCACGGGGAACAAACCATAGCTGATCCGTTGGCGAGCTTTGCGCGCCATGGACATGGAGGGGAGGTGGCGTAGAGGACTACGGTTTTTGAGTTGGAGAGTTGCGCGAAAGCTAGTCTAAGAGCAAGAGTTGCTCGCGGGACGGCGTGCGGAATAAGAGAGTGGGTTGAACTAGTCCTGCAAATACGGGGAAGAATAGTTGGTGGGGGTGGTGGTAAGTTGCGGTGGAGACGGAGCGAAATAAGCGCTGGAATTCGAATCCATCCAGCACATCGCACCAGCCTCCGGTACCGTTTTTGGGGCTTGTGCAGTACGAGTACCATGCCGGTCCTTCAAATGTGTAGCGAAACGCCGCAACCTGGAAGAATTTTTAGATCTAGAAAGTCTATGATACAATGTATATAACAGATTCTTTGAGTATAACTCTGTGGTGCGTGCGGTGCAATGTAGGCACCTTGTTCAGCACAGTGCAGCCACTCGGGAAGAAGCGGACGGGGTCTACATAGAGAGAATTCTATACGAGTGTAGCCGATAGATATATTCGTCACGTGAGTCTGATAAGAAAATTTCGGTGCACCTTTTGGCTGCGATGTGTCCTTAGATAAGGCACGTGATGAATATATTCACCGGCCGCACCCGCAGGCAAACCGCAACAGCCACAGCAGGGTCCCGCGTCCCTGTTTTCTTGGTTAAGAAAATGGCGATGCCGCTTATTTATCTACTCTACTCGAGTGTATTGATAAAGGAATTATTTGGTGCAGTACGAAACAACTAGCATAGGAGAATTTGTTAGAGTAAAGGCGTTCGCCGCGTGACAGCTGATAGTACTCGGGTGCTGTATGATACGAGCACCGGTACACCCGGGGTAGTGTTGATACCAAAGTTAAACTATATCGCCGGACCGTCGCAGTGTGAATGATGTTTCATGTGTTGGTCCCGGCATTTCTAGCATGATGTTTGGTGCTAGCGTAGAAGACATTGAAAGTAAACCAATATTCCCCAGCATAAATATATGTAACGGTATCGGCAATGGTGAGAATGAGATCACTGGGAAAGGGGTCAGACCGAATGATGGAGTATCCGGTTTTGTGTGTAAGTCAGGGCACGGCATGTACCTTGTGTACCTGAAAATGTATGGAACCCACAGAGGCTCAGTGCGGGACAACGCGTGCCTTTGCGATAACGACGAATCAGGTCAAGCCTGGACCTCTGGTGGGCGGGAGACCCCTGTCTGGGCCCACAAATTTCGGGACACTAACGCGAATCTCCCTTCAAACCGTCCTCCGATTGCCCACACACCCTCTGCCCAAAAGCTCTCAGATCGAATCTCATTCCCCATCTCTATCTCCTGGTTATCATCCCCTGCGACTTTCTTCTCACCCCCCTCACCCTTTCACGTCCACTGGATCTCCAGATTTTATTTGGCTCTGTTATTACGCTTTATATCTTGTTTAATACTTCTGGAGTCTTTCCTTCTCCCCCTCCTTCTATTAGCAAACTAATATACTCGGTAATCTTCTCGGCATAGCAGATGCCTCACTGACGATAACTAACTTCTCACAGCTATAGTTAACGAACTCCTCCGCCACTTTCTTTCGTTACCGTCGATACCGCAACTATGGATGGCGCTCTGGTTGCGTCCTCCGGGAGCCATCCAGTTGTATCTCCGTCCGCATCGACTACCTCTCTGCTTCCATCCCTGAATCCCACTTTACTTGTCGACTATCTAGCAGAAGTCCTCTCTGTTACGGTCGGTGCTACTAAGCGAGAGTTGGAAGCTCCCGGGAGTCTCCTCTCGGACAGTCGCTATTCCGAGACTTTGCAGAAATGCTCCAGGTTCGCTGCGGAGCCAATTGTGGTGTTATATGCCTCGAAGGACCTCGTGGAGCTTGAACAGTCTCCAAACGACGCCATCTGTGAGTTGGATCACCCCATTTCCCTTGTCCATTATCACCAGAGGCCGCTGATAATTTGACTTAGCTGTTGCTGGAACTGCCTCACAATCGTACACGTACTCTATTGCATCAGAGTTATCATCATTACCGTCCACGGTTGCGTCTGTTGCCATTATCAAGCGACCTCAGCCCCTGGATCCCTCCATTCCTCTCCATGCCCAGATACAAATTATGAACCTTCCCGGGACAGTGGTGTTGAATAGTAGTGCTCAGGGCTCGGTATCGCCGTTCGAGATATTGCATTCCGTTGTGCATTTAGCTTTGGGACCTTACTTCGATGCTTATACCAAAGGCCAGGAAGCTCAGCCCAACGGGCGGATCAATCGTTTTGCTGATGGTGAAGCCAAGACTGGTATTCCTGTTACAAAGAAAAAGCTTGCCGAATTAGAGCTCTCTCTTCTACATTTGCAGCAGAATATCGAAATACCTGAGCTCTCATTGAACCTCCATAATGTAGTGCAGCTGGCTGTAGACGAGGTATAAATAATCCATTATTTAGCATAGCGATATTGTATAGAGACTGACTTTAATGTAGGCTATGCTTAAAAGTGCACGACCTTCGTTGGACCTTATACCCGCGAACCTATTACAAGATAGCACATTCCTCAATAATCTTCAGTCCATTGTGAATGCTTGGATCAAATCAATCCAGTCAATAACTAAAATGTCCCGGGACACCGAAAGCGGGACTGCTACCCAAGAAATTAATTTTTGGCTATCGATGGAGAGCGCTTTGGAGGGCATAGAGGAGCAACTCAGGAGCGACGGCGTACAGCTTACCCTAGAGATATTGAAGCATGCAAAGCGATTCCATGCCACTGTCAGTTTTATCGCGGACACTGGGTTGAAGGAGGCTACGGACAAAGGTGGGTTTCATTTCTGTCCGAGTGCGCGAGCGATTCATGTCGAGATGCCTACTGACCGCTCGATCCTAATAGTGCAAAAATACAATCAACTTATGCGCGACTTCCCGCTCGACGAACTTTTGTCTGCCACAAGCCTCGCGAAGGTACAGGATGCAATTGTCGGGATCTTTATTCATCTCAACAAAAAGTTACGAATATGTCCTTATCCCATTCGGAGGGCACTTCCGCTTGTGGAGGCGATTTCGGCAGATTTGGACTCCCAGATCCACTCGTTACTTAGCGGGCGTCGGTTGATGCATTTGGAATATAGTGACTTCGAATCGCTGATGAACGTTGCCGAAGGGATCTTTAGGACTTGGGAAGATAACATCAAAGAGTTTACTAACGTTGCCCGAGAAGTAACGAGGAAACGATCCGAGAAATTTATCCCGATAAAGATAGCGGCCAGACACCTCAAAACACAAGAGAGGTTGGCTTACGTTAAAGGCTTCCGACATGGTCATGAGCAGTTGCAACGAACAATTGCAAACGTTCTCGCCCCTAATTCGTACGAGAATGGTGCCAACCCGAACTCGAGGGAGGGGGGAGCTGTGTCGGAAGACATTGGTGATGTTGATGCCGTCGAGGAGGTTTCCCAGGCATACGCTGTTCTGAGGGATGTAGACGTTCTGGATGTGTCGCCCGAAGGTACAGAGATTTGGATCGCGGCGGAGAACGCATACAATGAACGGACTTCTCGTGTGGAGAATTCCATTATTGCCCGGTTAAGGGACAGGCTAGCCACCGCGAAGACCGCTAATGAGATGTTTCGGGTGTTTTCAAAATTCAATGCCCTCTTCGTGCGACCAAAGATCCGGGGTGCTATTCAGGAATACCAGACGCAGCTTATCGACAGCGTTAAACTTGATATCGCAGCTCTCCACGAACGGTTCAAGCAGCAATATGGGCATTCCGAAGCACATGCTATGGCTCAATTGCATGACCTACCTCCGATCTCGGGTGCGATTATTTGGGCCAAGCAGATCGAGAGGCAATTAAACGCCTATATGAAGAGGGTTGAGGACGTTCTGGGGCATGGTTGGGAACTTTATCACGAAGGTCAGAAGTTGCAGGGGGAAAGCATCACTTTTAGAAAGAAATTGGATACACGACCGATCTTCGAGACCTGGTCGAACGATGTGCAAAAGCGCAACATATCTATTTCGGGAAGACTATTCAGTATCACGAGAAATAGGGCCGCCGGTAACTCTTTGGAGCTAGTGGTCAATTTCGATCCTCAGGTCATCGCGTTGTTCAAGGAGGTCCGGAACCTGTTATGGCTTAATTTTCAGGTTCCCCATTCGATCAATAATATTTCTAAGGAGGCGAAACGCGTTTATCCTTACGCAGTTAGTTTGATGGAGACTGTTCGAACCTTTGCTCAAATTAATAGAACAATATCCGAGATGTCCGATGTTTCGATCTTGCTTAGCGGTTATCAGAACGACGTACACACCTTGATAGGCAAGGGCACCCCCCTGAAATGGGAGTCCTTTGTTCACTCTTATGACCTGCACTTGAGGCAACTACAGTATCTTCCTAACGGAAACATTGATCCCTCAGCATCGCTGCAAGGAAGGGAGAGCAAACATGTGCAATTCGTCCGAGACTTTGCAGCCGCTGTCTCTATCCTCCAAATCAAGACTGGGACACTCGCTAGCATTCACGAGACATCGCAAAAAGCCATGGCAGAGCTATGCACTTGCCCTTATGATATGGATGCCTTCCAACAGAAGCTCGAAGTTATTCAAACCGCTGTTGATCAACTCAATTTGGAGAATTATGTCAATTTACCTCACTGGGTTGGGGAGTTGAATAGTAAGATTGAAATGATCCTACTTGGCCGGCTTCAGGAAGCGGTTGCGCGATGGATTTGGGTGTTTAAGGATGCAAAAGGTGATGAAGGAGCCGATGGTGACAGTCAACGTAAGCGGATGAGCAGAAACGAGGAGGTTGATGTCGATGGGATTGTAAGGGACAGAGATGCGTATGACCCACGCATGAAGAGACTTGTGCATGAGATTAGCATCCGGAACCAAGTTATTTACCTCGACCCGCCGCTAGAGTTTGCGAGGGCCAGCTGGTTCTCCCAGCTGCATCAGTGGTTGAGCATTGTCTGTAATCTCCGGAAGCTTAAGGCGAGTCGATACGAGATGAATATCAACCTAGCTGCGGGGGACTCTGAAATGCTGTTCTCCGATCTGGTAGGTTTAAGACATTTTCGGGAACCCTCTTTTTCCTTTACTAATTGTGTACAGCCTGCGAGTTGCGCGCCTACCCTCTCTGATGCCTACGAAGCAATAGAACAAAAATTGGCGGCAGTTGGAACATATGTCGACAAATGGCTCCGGTTCCAATCCCTGTGGGATTTACAGTCGGAACAAGTCTACGATATCCTCGGTGATAATCTTGAACGATGGCTTCAGTTGTTGACAGAAATCCGAAAAACTCGATCCACATTCGATACCTCAGACGTTAGCCAGTCATTCGGCAACCTTTCCGTAGATTACGAGCAAGTTCAGACAAAGGTCAACGCGAAATACGATCAATGGCAGCACGACATTCTTGTCAAGTTTGCCAATAAACTTGGAAATCGTATGAGGGAAGCTCACGCAGAAATTGGGAAAGCCAGACGTGACCTGGAGGGACAATCTCTTGAGGCTTCATCTACGGCCCAGGCTGTATCTTTTATCACTATCGTGCAACAATGCAAGCGCAAAGTTAAGTCCTGGGCACCGGAAGTTGACCTTTTCCGAAAGGGAGAAACTACCCTCTCTCGCCAAAGATACCAATTCCAGCAGGACTGGTTATTTGTTGACCAGATTGACGGAGAATGGGCGGCTCTAAATGAAATATTGGCCCGGAAGAGCAAAATCGTGCAAGATCAAACTGGTGAGTACTGTGTTACTAATGGTGCGTGATCGCTCTAATACTGATGACCCTTAGATGCGCTTCGAGCAAAGATTGTGGCAGAGGATACCGTTGTTACGGATAAGATTAACAATATCGTCGGGGAGTGGAACGATCAAAAACCTGTTTCAGGCACTATAGCTCCGGAGGAGGCATCACAAACCTTGAGTGACTTCGAGACGAGATTAACCCAACTCAAGTCCGAATCTGAGATGGTTTCGAAAGCCAAAGAAGCTCTAGACATTCCTGCCGGCCCGGAGAATATCCTGGTTTCAATTCTTGAGGAAGTCCAGGATTTCAAATCCGTTTGGTCTGCTCTTTCCACAATTTGGAAGAGTCTGAACGATCTGCGTGACACTCCTTGGTCCTCTGTTATTACCCGAAAGATTCGTCAAGGACTCGAGGGCTTAATAAATATGACCAAGGAGATGCCCAGCCGGATGCGACAATATGCCGCTTTTGAGCACATTCAGAACGTCCTTCGCCAATTGGTCAAAGTTAACCCGCTCTTGTCGGAGATGAAATCCGAGGCTGTCAGGGAGAGACATTGGAGTAAGATATTTAAGGCACTAAAGCCAGGACATAGGCTATTTTTGTCTACTCTCACTCTGGGCACAGTTTGGGATCTCAATCTGATCGCCAGTGAACCAGTGATCCGTGATATTATTGCCCAAGCGCAAGGGGAAATGGCGCTGGAAGAGTTTTTGAAGCAGGTTTGTAGCCTTGGACTCTACGTCCTCTAATATTGGCGGTCTAATCCAGGCTAATAATTACTTTAGGTTCGGGAAACATGGTCCAATTATGTGCTCGACCTCGTCAGTTATCAGAATAAATGCCGTTTGATTCGCGGCTGGGATGATCTTTTTGCTAAATGCAGCGAAAATCTTAATTCGCTCCAAGCCATGAGGCATTCCCCGTATTACAAGGAGTTTGAGGATGAGGCATCCTCGTGGGAAGACAAGCTGAACAGGGTTCATGTCTTATTCGACATCTGGATTGATGTCCAGCGCCAATGGGTTTACCTCGAAGGCGTCTTCACCGGAAACGCTGACATCAAGCACCTTTTGCCTATCGAATCCTCCCGATTCCAAAACATAAATTCCGAGTTCTTTACCGTAATGAAAAAGGTCTACAAGTCGCCTTACATTCTCGACGTTCTCAACATTTCTGGCGCCCAAAAGTCCTTGGAGCGTCTGGCGGAGCTCCTCAATAAAATCCAGAAGGCGCTTGGTGAATATCTGGAGCGTGAGAGGGTTTCATTCCCTCGCTTTTATTTTGTTGGTGATGAGGATCTACTTGAGATCATTGGAAATAGTAACGATACCTATCGCATCCAGAAGCATTTCAAAAAGATGTTTGCAGGGCTTTCTGGCTTGGTCATGGATGACGATTCTACCATCTTGGGCTTCACATCAAAGGAGGGCGAGGAAGTGAAATTGAAGAAAGAGATATCCCTGATTAAGACACCTAAGATCAATGACTGGCTCACCGCTCTTGAAACCAACATGAAACTTACCCTGGCCGAGCTTCTGGCAGAGGCTGTGCGGGATTTCATTGGTATTTTCGCCATGAAAGATTTGAACAAAGAGAAATTCTCCGAATACATCGCGCAATATCCAGCACAAATCCTAGTCCTTGCAACCCAAGCGGTTTGGACAACGGTGGTAGACAGGTCTTTGGCTGAAGGGGGCACAGGCCTACAAGGCTTGTATGAACAAGAGGTTAAGGTACTCGCGCTACTTGCAGCAACGGTTTTGGGGAATCTCGAGCCTATCGAGAGAAAAAAATGCGAACATTTGATCACTGAGTTTGTTCATCAACGCGACGTCATATTTAGACTTGCTAGTTCCGGAGCGAATTCAACGGAAGATTATACATGGCTACTTCAAATGAGATATTATTATCGAGACGAAGGAGAATATCTGAGTAGACTGAAGATCAGGATGGCAAATGCAGAGCTCGAATACGGATTCGAGTATCTTGGCGTGGCTGAACGTCTTGTGCGCACACCACTGACTGATAGGTGCTTCTTGACATTGACCCAAGCCTTGTGCCAGAGGCTCGGAGGATCTCCTTATGGCCCAGCAGGAACTGGAAAAACAGAGTCGGTCAAGGCACTTGGTGTTCAACTTGGCCGGTTCACCTTGGTATTTTGCTGTGACGACACCTTCGACTTCCAGGCAATGGGGAGAATCTTTTTGGGAATCTGTCAGGTCGGAGCGTGGGGCTGTTTCGACGAGTTTAATCGCTTGGAGGAGAGGATATTGTCTGCTGTGTCGCAACAAGTTCAGAACATCCAGCTTGGATTAAAGAAAGCGATTGAGGACTCCGACGCGCAGATAGAATTGGTTGGCAGACAGCTCAAAGTGCATCAGAATACAGGTATGAATACTCACATCTTCCTCGGGCGGAACCCCGGTGTTAATATAGACGCCTAGGCATCTTTATCACCATGAATCCTGGTTATGCCGGCCGTTCGAATTTGCCAGACAATCTTAAGAAACTCTTCCGAAGTGTTGCTATGTCGAAGCCTGATAAAGAGCTTATTGCTGAAGTCATGCTTTACTCGCAAGGATTTAACCAGGCGAAACAACTTTCCAAGCAAACCGTACCATTTTTCGACCGTTGTGCTTCACGACTTTCAAAACAAGCGCATTATGATTTTGGATTGCGTGCACTGAAGAGTGTGCTTGTTAGTTCTGGGGGATTGAAGAGAGCGAGACTAGTAAACGATAGTGTTGATTTAGACGGCGAAAAAATATCGGGCTCCGACTGGGAAGCACAGATTATTGTGCAGAGCCTGAGAGAAACTATAGCCCCCAAATTGATTCGGAGCGATGTGGAGATTATGAGGGGGTAAGCTCGCACCCCGCGTTAATCCATGTTTCACCTCTAATATACTGCCTTAGAATTGAAGAAGAGTCGTTCCCGGGAATCCAATACGTGCCCGGAAATCTGGGTAAACTAGAGGAATCAATAAGAAGGATTGCCACGGAACAAAACCTTGTTTTGACGGATACCTGGATGACCAAGGTTTTGCAATTATACCAAATTCAAACTATCCACCATGGCGTGATGATGGTTGGAAACTCTGGTTCAGGAAAATCTGGCGCCTGGAAAGTGCTACTTCAGGCTTTGCATCAAGTCGAGAGCCAAGAAGGTGTTTATCATATAATTGACTCGAAGGTTATGTCGAAGGAGGCTTTGTACGGAAGTCTCGATTCGACAACGAGAGAATGGACCGACGGACTTTTTACTAGCATTTTGAGGAAGATCGTCGACAATCTACGCGGCGAAGATTCGAAGAGGCATTGGATTGTTTTTGATGGTGATGTTGATCCGGAGTGGGTTGAGAACTTGAACAGGTATTCACCCTCCCACCCTCCATTGTCGGATATTAACTAACTATATCATGTAGTGTTTTGGATGATAACAAGCTACTCACTCTACCAAACGGAGAACGCCTTAACCTTCCCTCCAACGTTCGCATCATGTTTGAAGTTGAGACTCTGAAATATGCTACCTTGGCCACAGTCAGCCGATGTGGTATGGTCTGGTTCAGTGAGGACACCGTCACCTCAAAAATGATGGTTGCCCATTACCTCAAGTCTCTTCGGACAGTTATATTTGAGGATCTCGATGAGGACAATACGATCAGTTCCGGACAGGCCTCGGCTAAGGCTCTTTCAACCCAATCCCACATGGCAGAGCTTCTCGGTCAACTCCTTGATAATGACAATTTTATTGTGGAAACTCTGACGGAAGCGAGAAAGTACAACCATATCATGGAGTTTACAGAGGTTCGAGTTCTAAATACGCTCTTCTCGTTGCTTAATAAGATATGTCGGACCATGATCGAATACAATATTCAACACGCCGACTTCCCGCTTGAGGATGAGCAGGTCGAAGCATACGTTTCGAAAAAATTACTTTTAGCATTGGTCTGGAGCTTTACGGGAGACTGCCCTTTGACGGACCGACAATCCTTCGGGCACTACGTGTGCGGTTTAGCGACGATCGAGCTTCCACCTTTGACCGGTGGAGGTGCTATCGTTGACTTCGATGTTTCTCTACCCAAAGCAGAATGGACGCCATGGCAAGACCAAGTACCTTCGATTGAAATCAATACCCACTCTGTCACCCAGACTGATCTCGTCATCCCCACTCTGGATACCGTTCGACACGAGGACGTCTTGTACTCATGGTTGGCGGAACACAAGCCGCTACTTTTGTGTGGACCTCCGGGTTCCGGTAAAACCATGACATTGTTCAGTGCTTTAAGGAAGCTTCCAAACATGGAAGTTGTTGGATTAAACTTTTCCAGTGCTACCACACCAGACCTTCTCATCAAGACTTTTGAGCAATATTGCGAGTATAAGAAGACATTGAACGGAGTGATGCTCTCCCCAACCCAAATCGGGCGCTGGCTGGTACTGTTCTGCGACGAGATAAATTTGCCAGCGCCAGACAAATACGGGACACAGCGCGCAATATCATTCCTCAGGCAATTGGTAGAACAAAACGGTTTCTGGAGGACCTCTGACAAAACCTGGGTCACCTTAGACCGCATTCAGTTCGTGGGAGCGTGTAATCCCCCCACTGATGCTGGCCGTACACCCATGGGAGCCCGTTTCCTTCGGCACGCTCCGCTCATCATGGTCGACTATCCTGGTGAACTGTCATTGACACAAATTTATGGAACCTTTAACAGTGCTGTCTTGAAGATTATTCCCACCCTTCGAGGATACTCGGAACCGCTTACGAAAGCAATGGTTCAATTCTACTTAGAGTCACAGCAAAGATTTACCCCAAAGATCCAGCCGCACTATGTCTACTCCCCCAGAGAACTTACGAGGTGGGTTAGGGGCTTATACGAGGCCTTGAGGCCATTGGAAACGCTCTCCATTGAAGGGCTAGTCAGGATATGGGCGCACGAGGCGCTGCGGTTGTTCGAAGATCGTCTCGTCGGAGAAGATGAGAGACAATGGACCGCAGATGCAACCAAGAGAATTGCCCTTCAACATTTCCCCGGCATTGACCAAGAGAAGGCGCTGGGTGGGCCAATATTGTTTTCGAATTGGTTATCTAAGAACTATATTCCTGTGGAGAGAGAACAATTAAGAGATTTCGCAAAGGCACGTCTAAGGACTTTCTGTGAGGAGGAAGTTGATGTACCGTTGATCCTCTTCAACGATGTACTAGAACATGTATTGCGCATTGACAGGGTCTTCAGACAGCCGCAAGGGCATTTGATTCTTATCGGTGTCAGTGGAAGTGGAAAGGTACGTTGTTTCACACATTATACTTTTATCTTGCTAACCGGAGTTCCTAGACCACCCTATCTCGGTTTGTGGCCTGGATGAATGGACTCAAAGTCTTCCAGATTAAAGTTCATGGAAAATATTCCGCGGAAGACTTCGACGAGGATCTTCGGGATGTTCTTCGGCGATGTGGCTGTAAAGGGGAGAAAATTTGCTTTATCATGGACGAGTCTAACGTCCTCGATTCTGGGTTCTTAGAGCGTATGAATACCTTGCTAGCAAATGCAGAGGTTCCCGGCCTCTTCGAGGGAGACGAATTTGCAGCTCTGATGACAGCCTGTAAGGAAGGCGCTCAGCGACAGGGATTGCTTCTAGATTCCCAGGAGGAGTTGTACAAATGGTTCACTCAACAGATCGTCAAGAATCTGCACGTCGTCTTTACTATGAATCCCCCGGAGGACGGTCTATCATCTAAGGCAGCGACATCCCCAGCATTGTTCAATCGCTGCGTTCTTAACTGGTTTGGAGATTGGTCAGATCAAGCTTTCTTCCAAGTGGGGATGGAATTAACACAATCCCTTGATCTCGACAGAGCGACCTACAGGGCTCCCGACAGTATTCCGGTGGCATACAGAGAACTTCCGTTGCCGCCTTCTCATCGCGAGGCAGTTGTCAACGCAATGGTTTATATCCATTACTCGCTTCACCAGTTCAATGCTAAACTCCAGAGGCAACAAAACAAGACAACATACCTAACACCCCGACATTTCCTCGACTTTGTTGCTCAGTATGTCAAACTTTATAATGAGAAACGCGAGGATCTTGAGGAGCAACAACGGCACTTGAATGTTGGGTTGGAGAAATTAAAGGACACGGTCGACAAGGTGCGGGAGCTTCGAACAAGCTTAGCCGAAAAGCAGGGACAACTCGAGAGAAAGAGCGCCGAGGCGAACGAAAAACTGCAGAGGATGGTCGCCGATCAGCAGGAAACCGAACAAAAGCGAGCTGCTTCTCTCCAAGTCCAAGCAGAATTGGAAGTCCAAGAGAAGGCGGTTGCCCAACGAAGGAAAGTTGTGTTGAGTGACCTTGCAAAGGCTGAGCCAGCCGTCATCGAAGCCCAAAGAAGTGTGGGAAATATTAAGAAGACTCACTTGAACGAAGTCAGGGTCATGGGAAAGCCCCCGGTAGCTGTTCGACTCGCTATGGAGTCCGTTTGCACGTTGTTGGGGCATAAGGTAGATGCATGGCCAACAGTACAATCTATCGTGGGACGTTCAGATTTCGTCTCGAGCATTATCAACTTTGACAACGAGAAGCAGATGACCAAAAGTCTTCGACTCAAAATGCAAAAGGAATACCTTTCTTCCCCGAGTTACAACCCGGAAGCGATGAATAGGGCTAGCAAAGCATGTGCACCTTTGGCTCAATGGGTAGAAGCACAGGTCAATTACGCCGAAATTCTTGATCGCGTAGGGCCTTTGAGGGACGAGGTTGATCAGCTGGAGGAGCAAGCAAAGCAGACAAAGGCACAGGCACAGGCGATGCAAGATATGATCCAAGAGCTTGAACGGAGTATTGCCAGATATAAAGACGAATATGCAGCCCTCATCAGCGAAACTCAGGCTCTCAAAACCGAAATGTCCCGCGTCCAGTCAAAAGTTGACCGCAGTGTTAAGCTTTTGGATAGTTTATCTTCTGAGAAGACTCGCTGGGAGTACGGCAGCAAGTCCTTTGAAACACAAATAGGGACATTGATTGGAGATGTCATTGTGTCTGCAGCATTCCTAGCGTACGGTGGGCTCTATGATCAACAGTATCGCAAATCGATGTCAGACGACTGGCTCAACCATCTCTCGTTATCCGGTATTCAGTATAAGGAACATAATCCGGTTACAGAATATCTATCAACTGCCGACGAGAGACTTGTGTGGCAAGAGAACGGGTTGCCTGTGGATGATCTTTGCACCGAGAATGCGATCGTCCTCAAGAGGTTCAACCGTTATCCTCTCATCATCGACCCTTCCGGCCGAGTCACAGAATTCCTGGCCAACCAGAGCAGCGAGCGGCGTCTTACCATCACAAGTTTCCTAGACGACTCATTTACCAAGCAGTTGGAGAGCTCACTCCGTTTCGGAAATCCTATTCTTATTCAGGACGCGGAGCACCTAGACCCTATTCTCAATCACGTCTTAAACAAGGAATACCAGAAAACCGGAGGCCGTGTATTGATCCAACTCGGGAAACAGGAAATCGATTTCTCGCCTTCATTCAAGTTATATTTGTCGACTCGTGATCCATCGGCGTCCTTCGCCCCCGACATCTGCAGCCGCACTACTTTTGTCAATTTCACTGTTACCCAGAGTAGTCTACAGACCCAGTCGTTGAACCAGGTACTGAAGTTCGAGAGACCGGATGTTGATCAACGTAGGACGAACTTGATGAAGCTCCAAGGCGAATTCAAGCTGCATCTTCGACAGCTCGAGAAGCGTCTTTTGCAAGCATTAAACGAATCCCGAGGAAATATTTTGGATGATGATCGGGTCATCGATACGCTTGAGACCCTGAAGACCGAGGCGGCTGAGGTGTCACGCAAGATGGCAGAAACAGATGGTGTAATGACCGAGGTGGAAACAATCACCCTGCAGTACCAAGTCATTGCCCGTGCATGCAGTTCTGTCTTCGCGGTGCTTGAACAACTCCATCATCTCAACCACTTTTACCAGTTCTCGCTCCAGTAAGTTGCCTGACCTCCTTTACTTTGACAGCAATTAATTGACCAAATATTCAGATATTTCCTTGGTATCTTCCATTCTGTCCTACACGACAACAAGCGTTTGCAAGCTGAGAAGGACTACAACGCCCGTATCCAAATCATTCTCCATGACCTTTTCGTTACAACGTGAGCTTAACAAGTGCCTCTTCCTCTACCATCTTACTAATCTTCTACAGTTATCAACGTACTGCCTTGGGATTGCTTCAGAAAGACCGCGTGACCCTAGCAATGCTTCTTGCCCAGGCGTCTCCATACAAGATGGACAAGTCTTTGATCGACCGCATCTTGGGTGATGGCCTTCCGGGTATAGATGCTTCGACCGAAGTGGACAGGAAGGATGAAGCCATTCGACGAGCTTCGACACTTCCCATTTTCAAGAATTATGTTGAAAATATCACCGCCGAAGAATGGGAAAGGTTTTTTCAGGAGGAGACTGCTGAGAGCTTTGTACCCGTTGTTTGGGACAACAAGCTGCCCCATCTTGATCAAGAACTAAACAAACTTCTGCTTGTCAAACTTGGCAGAGTGGACCGCTTTGTTCCATCTGCGGAGAAGTTTGTGGGCGCTGTCTTTGGAAAGGACGTTTTGGATGCTACTGGAGATCTTCGCCAGGTCGTAGCTCAAGTATCCGCAACTACCCCCATTGCTCTCGCCTCCTCACCTGGTTTTGATGCAAGTTACAAAGTGGATAGTTTGGTGGAACAGCTTAGAGTTAGCTGCACCAATATCGCCATGGGGTCAAACGAGGGTTTGGCAACTGCAGACAAGGCGGTCGGTAACGCCGCTTCGGCTGGGACCTGGGTCTTGGTTAAAAATGTGCATCTTACTCCTGCATGGCTACAATCGTTAGAGAAGAGACTTGATGCACTGCGGCCCCATCCTAACTTCAGGCTATTCCTCTCTATGGAGTCTTCACCTAAAATCCCGATCAACCTGCTGCGTGCTTCGCGCGTACTCATGTACGAACAACCTGCCGGGGTCCGTGCCAATATGAAGGATTCGCTTTCAACGCTGTCAACTCGTCCAGCCAAACAACAGCCTACCGAGAAAGCAAGGGTATACCTCCTTCTTTCCTTCTTACATGCGGTTGTTCAGGAGAGACTACGCTACGTTCCTGACCTGGGGTGGAAAGGATGGTGGGAGTTCAATGACAGTGATGTAAGCCGCTCGCCCTTGTTTATTGCACTGAGTATGCTAAGTCCTGGGATAGTACGAGTGCTCGGCCTATATTATCGACACTTGGATTGATCACGTTTCTGGTGGCCGTACGAATGTTGCTCCAACTAAGCTTCCTTGGAACATGATCCGTACTCTTATTACAGAGACATATGGGGGCAAAATCGATGACGAGGGTGATTTCCAGCGTTTGACGGATCTAGTCAAATCCGTGTTCACCCCCGATGCTTTCAACTCCGACTTCAAATTGGTTGATACGGACCAACCTCTCTACGTTCCTGAAGGTATTGGAATGCCGGACTTCATGCAATGGGTCAACGCGCTTCCGGAGAGAGAACCACCAACTTACTTGGGCCTACCAGCGAATGCAGAGAAGCTATTGCTTGTGGGGCACGGAAAGGGAATGATCAAGAATTTAGGCACTATTACAGATATGTTGGAGGAAGGAGAGCGGGTTGTAGCAGAGGTAGCGAACGCCGCTTAGTTATTTCTTTTCGTATTTGTTATTCCCCCAATTTCAAGCGCTTTAGCATTGAGTGTTTTTGTTTGGGGATTGTTCCTGTATTGTTGGGCGTATATCCTATTTCTTATTTTCTTGTCGAGACGCGCAATACTATAGCTATACACAATTGATATACACTCACCTCTCTCGAATCCATGCCGTCACTGCCGATAATGCGTTTATCAAGCGCTCGCATCCCCACGTTAAATTTGGCATCTCGCATCTCTACCGACAGGCATCTAATAAATGATTTTACTGACACTCATTCCGGCCATGAACCGAAGCGGCTTTCTAACTTTTACCCAATCCAGCGCTATCCATTGTCCACCGTAAAAAGAAAAAAGTAATCGCGTAGAAACGATAAAGGGGAAAGAGAGGATGAAAAAAAATGAAAAAAAATGACAAAGCTTCACTTTTCGTATAATACACATATTATTAAAGGTTAAAATGCTCTGCCATCTATCTCCTAGCTCTCAAAGCCCTCATCCCATCTTTAGAATCCACAATCCTCCCACTAACGTCCTTCAGCGCATCATTGAACTCTCTTAATGTCCTATTCAACCTCCTAGCGTCCTGCCGACCTCCAACTCCACCGGTGAGCGCTGTGAGATCTTCCCCACCAATACTACCCATGGTAGCCTGTTGCTCAACACTGCGCAGCGAGAGCTCCACCTCCTGCACGCTCTCTAGGAATAGATTCAACTTCTGATCCATCCTTGCGATTTGCGTGTTGAAGTAGTTTATCATTGGCTTATTGCTTGTGATGTCGTTCTCGTGCATGGGCTGGTTCTGCTGCTGCGCGATGTATTGGCTGCGCTGAGCGGGCGGCACACGGAACAGATCAACGTTGCGGATTGATAGGGTTGCGGCTGCATCGTCCTCGTTGTGGTGTTGACGTGCGGTGCTCAGTGCTGCTTCGTCGGCGGCGAGGAAGGACTTGGTGGTTGCGAGTTTGTGGGTTAGAACTGCGGTGTCGGAGGGGATAGAGTTGATGGTTGCGCGGTGGCAGGGGAAGTGGGCAGTTAGCGCTGTGGCGATGCGCATCTGCTCTTGGATCTCTTGTCTATCATGCAAGGAATGTGAGCGAGGGAGATCTATAATCCGTCGATATGGAATGAAGTCTTACTCAATGCCCTCTAGGATCCTCTGAACCTCTGCATGGCAGTCTCCAAATCTAGTAGTCGGTAAAAGCTTTGAAGCATCAATAGTCGCTGCTGGAACTGCGTTTTGCTGCTGCTGTGATTGTGGCTGCGACTGTGCGGTACCTAGAGAAGTCCCACCGAATAATCCACTGGGCCTTGGAGCTACCGATGTTGTACTAAATGCTCCAATGCTAGGAGTAGCTGCTGCAGAAGCAGGGCCAGTGCTATAAACGTGAGCCACGGTTTTTCTATAACATGGGACGTGACATACAATGAAGGCTTAGGAGGCTGCTGTAAAGTTCCCCCACCAAACAATCCGCCCCCGGCAGCAGGTGCGGGGGTTGGTGCTGCTGCCCCGGCTCCAAAGGGTCCTCCGGCAGGTTGGGCTGGGGTAGCTGCTTGAGTAGCGCCACCAAAAAGTCCTCCCGTGGGCGCGGCTCCACTGGTAGGGGTAGTTGCTGCAGGAGCTCCAAACAGACCGCCGCTTCGAGGGGCAGACGTAGCGGCAGAAGTTAGAGTTCCACCAAACGGTACCCCCCCCCCTCCCCTCCTCCTCCTCCTCCTCCTCCTCCTCCTCCACTTGCAGTCGAAGTTGCAGCTCCACCGAAAAGACCAGTACCCGTCGCTGGGGTCTGCGTTTGCGTCTGTCCACCACCAAACAATCCACCAGAAGCAGGGGCAGCTGACTGCGACGCACCGCCAAAGAGACCTCCACTGCTACCGCCAGCTGTAGACGCTGCGCCAAATAGTGAAGGAGTCTGTTGCTGCTGCTGCTGCTGCTGTTGTTGTTGTTGTTGTTGCTGCTGCCCACTGCTGAACGACGCGAGTTACCTATTGTTAGCATTTCGCCAGAGCTTGTAAGAGATGTGAGAGATCATTACAAAAGTGATGGGGTCCCCGAAGTGGATGTATTTGTCTGCGCGAAGAGTGACATTGTAGGAGGGGGTGAGGCCCTTATCTGGTGATTTGAAGTGGTGTGAGTAGAAAGGATAGGCGCAATGAATGAAAGAGAGTCAAGGTGTTGATGTTGCTATCAAACCTTACCTTAGTTAGACAGTGGCGTTGAGGCTCAACTCCAGCGGTTCAAGGAACGCGAGGTAGGGATGTATTGTCCAGAACACTGGAGACGGGAGAAAGTTACCCTGCTCTACCTTGCCAACACTGCCACAGAATTCCCAGTTCGAGTGCCGCCCAGTTCACACGATGGATGTCAACGCTTTGCCATAGCGAACGTCAGCCACTGGTATCACGGCTACTCTTGTCCAATTACTCCACACAATTCACCCCTCATAAAAGCAATCAATAATGGACCAAGACGAAGACGCATACCTCTACGGAGACGATCCAACGGCAACGGAGGAGACTTCTACTAGCATTGCGACTCTCCAGCAAGCTCCAACTCCCCCTCCCACGACAATACCTACGGCAATACCTGAAACCTTACCTGAACACTCTGGAGGTGATACACCGATGGCAGATAGCGCTCCCGAGCGCGCTGCCAAGGAAGACGACCTCGAGGAAGGTGAAGAGGAAGAGGAAGAAGTAGAGGAAGAGGTAGAAGTCGACGACAGCGAAGATGTACCTACTAACACCTAATCCAATCCTGTGATTCCTCAAAAAACGCTGACTTACAGCCCAGGAAATCGAATTCGTAATTGAGCGGAAAGACGGTACTCGACCGGAGCCACCTCCTCAACCATCTCGCTATAACCAAGTCCGCATGGCCCCTACCCGTCCCATTCCAGAATCCTCCGGCTCCGCAAAGGCTACGACGCCGCAACCACCAACCAGTGCAACACCACAGCCCCCAGCAGGCCCCGCACCCTCTCAACACCCCCACCCTCCAACAAGCTCTTCTTCGAAACTAGACCTGAACGGGAACCCAGCCTACCAAGGCACACCTATAAAGTCCATTTCCCTAGACTCGGACACGCTCCTCCCCTCCGACAAGCCATGGCGCAAACCCGGGGCTGATGTGACGGATTACTTCAACTACGGTTTCGACGAATTCACCTGGACAGCATATTGTCAGAAGCAAGAGTCGATGCGGGAGGAATTCGACCCAAGAAAAATTATGGAGCAGATGATGTTAATATCGGGTATGACTGGGGGATTGGGAATGCCAGGGATTGTCGTTGACCCCTCTGCCGTTAGTGTTGGCGTTGGGGGGATGGACATGAATGCTGCAGCAGCCATGATGGGCTTCAATCCTGCGGGAGGGGGTGGGGGTAACGCTGCCGGTGGGGCACCGGCAACAGCAGTCGGTACGAGTGCCAGTGGGGCGGATATGAATATGGTTAGTGGGATGATTGACCCATCTATGTATGGGGCTGGCCCGATGGGCGGGGGATATGATGACAGGAGTGGTGCCGCTGGGGCTTACGGAATGGCGGCCGACCCGAGGAGAACTGGGATGTAAGTCTCTTAACCCTTGCCGATGCCAATGAGCCGGGCTAATCTCTCTCACTAGGCCGCCCCAAGGACCGCAGCAAGCGATGGGCGCATATGGCGGCTATGACCAGAATATGATGCAGCAACAGCAGCAGCAGCAGCAACAACAAAGTGTCAGGGGCGCCTACGGGCGCGGGGGCAGAGGTAGAAGGGGATGGTAGTTGATCATGAACAGAACTCTGCACGTTACTTGTCCTATTCTTTCATCCTGTACAAATACCTCCAGCGATTCTTGGGTGCAACCTTATGTATTATTATTCCTTTGTTTTTCTCTCCGAACGCCCAGATTGGGAAGTCAGATTATCAGCCAGTTTTTAAGTGCCCTATTCAAATCCCAGAGGCCGCAGCCCCAAGAGACGCCGGCCCAACATTTTGGGAGTGCAAGCCTGTGGAAGAACGGTAGAGCGGATCCAAGGTGCTTGAAAGCCAACGCAGGGGGTAATCGCCCCGCCGAAGCAAGCCCGCTACCGTAGCGGTGTGCAATAAAAGGTAGCGAAAGAGCGGTAACAAGCCAATAGAATACGCGCATAACCCCGCTGGACGGAGAACGACAGGAAGCAGAGACGGGCCAACATAAGCAGAAAGAGGGAGGGGATCAGAACCAGAAGCGCGATCAGCACGAACGAGGCATCCGAGAGAGAGAGAGAAGAAATTCCAGCTATCCCAAAACGAGTGATACATGGTGATTATTGCCCCACTCCCGGTCTGTATGAGATCTTACGATATGCTCCCCTCCCTCTCACCCCTTGGTCCGCCCTTTCCCCCAAGTTTCCAAATGCATGTCACACCCGCTACAGAGCCACCGCCGCCTTTGGGACTCGAGAAAGAATTCCGGACTCCACCTAAAGTTTTCACCTACGCAATGTGCATTGTAAGTTACGTCGGACAAAAGTCTCTGATTTGATTTGATTTACAAAAACTGCCGGTGGTGGAGCACTAAAAATGAAGTGAGAAAAAAAAAAAATCAATAAATTAACCTTCTCACTTAAGTTACGATAGGGATCATTCCCGCATTCTTGGAATCATGACCATCACTCGGCGCTCCTCTTGACCACCAAGTTTTCTTAGGACATGGGGGGATTTTTTATAAAGGCTTCCTTTTTTTCCATCCCCCGGCAAATCCTCTGAGTATGTTGAGAGTCTCCCTTTGCAAACTCCTCTTTCTTTTTGAAGACCCCCCCCCCCCTACTACCCTACAAGAGAAAACGTCGGCGTAGCCCTCTAAAAGAAGGCTCCGTTTCACATCTACCTCCAGGCAATCACCTTTGCTGACAGCAATGTCATAAGCACAGATGTCTACGCTGCCTTTGAGACAATTCACTGGGAGATGGCTACGAATATTGCACCGCCGACCTTCCCGGGCCTCGTCAAGGATAGCACCAAAGATGCCTAATGGCCTCATCGCCGCTAACACGTTGAACACCCTCGAATTCCTCCATGGACCTTACACGCGCATGGGGGACACGACGAATTCGGACGCAGAACGAGTTTCTCGCACCTCCAACGACAATCGTTCGCTGATATCGCACTTTCGTGACGAGGTTCTCGATATTGATGGGGTGGCTGTCGAAGGGGGTGGAAAGGAAGAGGGAGTCCAAGATGATTGCAGTACTGGAGGATTTAGGGCACAAGTGAGGTATCTGCGAGGCTAGGATTACGGCGGCCAACCAATGTCACCAGAGGATGTGGGTTCCGCTCGGTTTCTATGATTTCCTTTCTCGTGTTGCTTCTTGATCCTATCTTGCGTTCCTTTTTATCTAGTTCTGTAGCATGCCTAGGAGTCGCGGGCGACGACTATTTCCATCCTAATAGAGTACGAGAGAGATTTTCACTGGTTTTGCTATTGCTCCCTTTTTAGTCCCCCAACCCCATAAGCCAACCTTCGCCGCAAGGTGCCTGTGTCGCCCCCACCAGAATTGGTTCTCCTCTCAACCCATGTGCTCACCGTTCCCAAGTAATCACTTTGGCGTCGGCAAAGCTCCCCCACTCGTAGCCGTGACATAGCGCTGGAGAAGCAAAGGCCAGGGTTCCAAGGGCCTACTTCTCTTCAGGGAGGTGCCACCCACCCACCGTGGATGGCCACAGGAAAAGCTCTGCCGGCTAGGACACCACTCCAGTAAGCAGAAATTATGCCAGATTGATCATTACCCCGCCCAGCCCACCACATGACCTCCGATATCCCTCGCGCAAGGAAACCAATCCAACCGACAGCCCCATCTCCAATTTGCCCCGCGTACCACAACAGCCGGCCAATGGTATTCGCGGTAGTGGTGGTAGAACCAAGTCGTAACCGCTTACTCGAGAGCGGTACTGTGGAGGCAAAGGGTTGGAAAAGTTTTTTTCAGCTTGTTTTGTTGGGGGCTTTTTTTTTCATGTTAATCGGGGCTATTTTTGTGAGCGAAGGGGGTATGGGAAGTGTTTGTGGGGGGGGGGGTGCCCGAGCGAACATTTTTCCCGCAAGTTCTCGCGAAACGAGAGGGTGCGAATTTTTTTTGAGTGCGTCGAACAACGGACGTCAGATGCGAACGATAAAAGTGTCAAGGCTTTTTTTTCTTTTTCTTTTCCCACCTTTTGTGTGAATGGGAAAGGGAGGGTGCAGTACAGTAATTTGGAATTGGAGAGATTGAGAGTCGGGAAGGGCCAAAGGATCGTGCTGTTATTCCGCTTCTCCAATCTATATATTCAGCTATCTGTTCTCCATCTTTTCGCGGGTATTACGAGAAGAGCTTTCTTCCAGGCTTCTATTTTCTCATTCGAATCAAGCTGGTACTCGTATCTGTCCTTTTCAGGAACTAATCGGTATCGTGTCGCCATGTGCGTGTGTGTGTCTGTGCGTGGGGGGGGGATACGAGTAAAAAAAGTGGTGGGGAAAGCAATCCGATTGGACAGGACCCAGTACTCGAGGAGATGGGGGAAGAAGGGAAAAAATTCTGAGATAACCGGCCGGTAATCTCCTTGAATGCGTGTTTCTGGATCTCGCGAGGGGGACTGCGGCGTGCTCACTTTGTGCGCTGGGAGAGGACGGATCTGGTATGGGGCGTTGGATACCTCTTCGATATAGCATGATGCGAGTGCTGTACCCGTGCAGCACAGCGTACGCGCGTACTCGAGTACACTACCTGCATGGACGCACATGGTCGGGGCAAGTGGCGTGGAGTCGGTGAGAGTTTCCTGGGAGGGAAATAGGCCAGTGCTCAATATTTCAAACTGGGACTGAAATGTTTTTACTGGCAGAGAGGATAGAGATAATAGAGAGAGAGGAGTGGATTCTAAGAGTTTTTATGGTACATATACTAAGGTGTTATACTCAAGGGCTAGGATCTCAGCCACTAATCCCTAGAAGCCCCTTAATCGGACTGCAGTTCCTCTCCTCCACAGTGCATCTTCTGGGCCTCCATTGTCTTCCTCACCTGCATCTCCACCCTTGCATCTATTGCCTTCCATTGGTCCCTTGCCTCTTTTGCCTTCCTTTCCTGCCTAGCTTGCCAGAGTTTTGTAGACTGATCTACCATGTGCTTGGTAATCTCCACGCTACCAAACAAAATAGCAACATTACATATTTGATCTGACAATATGGACACAAATTCTGTCAACCAAAAGCAAAAGATTATTAGTAAGTATTTATTGTCAGAAATGAAGAATTGTAGATGCTAGGCAGCCTACCATAGTAAGGTTTCATTGTTGGTAATTTTTAATATGTTGAGATAGTATTTTGAGGACCTGCAACTAGCTTTAAGTTTTGTATCAATATTGCATGTTCCTCTACCATACTATAGCTAATAGAAGAGATGGTATAAAGTTAAACAAACCTGTAATAGCTTGCTGATGCAGTAACTTGAAGTCTGAAGGTGTTATAAGTGATTTCAGCAGGACTAACAACTGGTGGTGGTGGATTTGAGGTAGAGTGGATTGCTAGTTGACTGAACGAGAGATAGTACTCAGAGATATTTATATTGCAAACACTCTAAAGGCTAAGTGAAATGCTTGAAAGTGATAGGAGGAGTGTAGATGTGAGTGTACAATAGATTGTAAGGAAGGGGAGTTGTGTGAGGAGGATGTAGAGAGAAGAAGGTTTGTTCTGTTATAATAAAAAAAAGCTACCCATGAGCTGTTTATATAGACAAAACTACAGATGAGAGTCAACCCTAACTGAACATATAAAAACAAATAAGGGTATTGACCTAAACCCTTGCTCATATATTTCTGCTCCTATATCAACATCTCCTAGTATCATACTATTAAAAATGGCTTTTCATCCTTCCTGTACTTATTTTCTTTTTTCCTTTTCCTCACCTAATTCATATTACCAAGTCCAATACTCCAAAATTGAAAAACAGTCAACTACAATCTTTACCCCTTATTTACAATTAAGGCTTATCTATCTTACCTTGATAAAATCTTTTTACATCTTACTGGCTACAAACAAACCTGGTTAGTTTTCTCTATCATGATAAATAAACAAGCTAACTTATTATTTCTAATAGAAGCAAATTTCTTTAAGCTTCATAGAGGTAACTATCAGATACGAATGGTAAGAATAATAAAATATTTCTGATTTAATGGTTGCTCAAATTCATTCTCTTAGGACTATAAATGAAAACTAAATGAAAAAGTTGAACAGATATCAAGTATAAAGAGATACAATCTAAAAGGTATTAGAATCCAATACCCTACAATAACTAATATCACTAGCAATTACTTTAACAATTCCATTACTGTTATAATATATGATACTAATCATATATAAAACAAGTTTTCTAGGTACAAGTTGAATAGTTGTGAAACAGCTCCTGAACTATATCAGCAAAATCAAACAATATTGAAGCAACCTTCAAGAATATGAATATCTCTGAACAA